TCACTTATTTTCGGGGCATTCTTGGCCTTTGCTTCTCAAGGGCTGCCAGGTCTTCCTGGGGTCTGGGGAGGGACAGTCATTTTTATGCCTGTTTTAATCAGTGCTTCCTCATGCCTTCCTATGTGGATGTTTGTAAGGGTGAAGGACACATGGGAAAATGTCTTGGAAAACAAAGTTTGATAGAACTACAAGCCATTTTGAGCATTAATTTGGGGTTCTTTTTGGTGGTAAAAATAACCGTTGTTTAAAAGTGAAATTAGTAGTAGTATAAGTGGAGAAAGGTAATATTGTTGATGAAGTAGCTGATTAATTTGATTTTTTTTGTTTGTTTCTGTGGTTTAAGTATTTAGGGTTTTAAGGGACTAGATATTTGTTTTTCTTGATATTGATGAGGAGTAAGGACTGAGAAATATACCTTAAGCTGATGTGGAAGGAAGGAACGTTCAAAAAATTAGTCTCTTCAGCAATCTACAAAATGAAATATCTGGTTGTTTTGCCCCCTTCTCACAACCAGTAGCTTTATCAGTTTTGCAGAAGACGGGAAATCGTCTGCAGATGGGATCTGAAACCTGACTCTGAATTGTAGCCACATGCTTTTGGATAACATTTCTAGACTGAACTGGAGATTACAATTCCCACTTCATAGAATAGTGTGAAGGTGAAAAGAGATATTAAATGTGTGAAACGACTATACATAGAAGAGGATCAGTAAGTGGTAGGCAATATTCTTAGTATTAGAACTGGTGATAATTATCACTAATATCAACTATTTCATTGAGCAGTCAATGTAGAGGATATTTTGTTAGGTGATATTGGGGGACACAAGGGAAATCTGTAAAATTCAGTTCCTAGGAGTAATATATATTTATATATATTCATATATAATTTAGGGCAATAAGTCTTATGTAAAAAGATAATGGACAAAACAACATAATATGTGGGTAATGGATGATTGGGAAGATGAAATAGTCCCTATTTTGTAGGATGCTCTGGAAGGTTTTCCTAAGGCATCTGGGCCTTGAGAATAGGTACAGTATAGATGGACAGAAAGAATAAGAGGCTATTCCAAACAGAAGTGAGTCTCCCTCCCCCCACCATCCCCCTCCATCCTTCACTTTATAGTATAGCGTTGAGATTACAAGCAGGAAAAATGGTAGAATTTTGGCCTTGCTACTTATCAACTGTGTAGCCGTGAGCAGGCATATAAACCACCTTAAAGCTGATCCATCATCTATGTAATGGATATTAAAATAGAATGGGTGGGGGGCGCCTGGGTGGCTCAGTCGTTAGGCGTCTGCCTTCGGCTCAGGTCATGATCCTGGGCTCCCTGCTCAGCAGGAAGCCTGTTTCTCCCTCTCCCAATCCCCCTGCTTGTATTCCCTCTCTCGCTGTCTCTCTGTCAAATAAATAAATAAAATCTTTAAAAAAAAAAATAGAACAGGGGGTTCTTGCTCTCTAAATCTCATCTTTAGAAGGTCAGTGGGGAAAGAAATGTTACAACACAGCAATATTTATTCAGTATTGGCAACTTATGCAAGTCCCCACTCATGTTTAAATCTAGTGTTGGCGGGGCGCCTGGGTGGCTCAGTCGGTTAAGCGACTGCCTTCGTCTCAGGTCATGACCCTGGAGTCCCGGGATCGAGTCCCACATCAGGCTCCCTGCTCGGCAGGGAGTCTGCTTCGCCCTCTGACCCTCCCCCTTCTCATGCTCTCTCTCTCTCTCTCTCTCCAATAAATATAAATCAATCAATCAATCAATCAATCTAGTGTTGGCTCTCTCCAGTTGCATTAACTCTTTGACTTTTATGACTTTTAATATTATAAACATTTGATGATATAATGCAAACACAATACAAATCCATTGCAAAGTGAAATTTCAATTCTTGAAAAAGAGGATTCCCCAAAGTCCATGAAAGTGATTTTGAAAGACTTACTAAAAACACTTTCAAGCCTATTGATAAAGGGGGTGTGTGTGTGTGCGTGTGTGTGTGTGTAATCTTCACAAAATACTCTTTCAGACACTATTCTAAGCACCTGATATGTATTCGTCTCTTGCTCACTACAGCCTCATGATGTACCTACTATCACAATTCCCGTGACAGGCAAAGAAACAGAAGCAGGGAATCCGAACCAAGCAGTGTGGCCCAGGACTGCACGTCCTTCCTCACTCCACCATACTGCCTCCACTGAGATCAGGTAGTAATTCTCCACTGATAGGAAATCAGAAAGAAGAGAATGGGCACCTGAATGGAGAGAGATTTCCAAAGGATAAAGAAAGCTCTCCTGAAAAACTGATAAAAGCTATCCTCTAAGCAATGTTGACAGTAGTTAAGAGTATATGTCTCTGGGGTCAGACTGCTGGAGCTTCACTGCTCCTTAGCCATGTGACCTTGGACAGCTTACACAACACCTGTGTCTCAGCTTCCTTATCTATAAAGTACAGATAGTAAATAGTAAATACCTATTGTATTGCGGTGTGGACTTTATGATTAAAATAGCCGTAAATGCATTTGACAGATAGAATATACTTGGTAAATGTTCATTATTCTTATAACTAACATTTGGGAAAATGGTCCTCTTTATGATCATGTTCCAAAAATCAAAAAAAGAAGAATGTCTTATGCTATTCTCCAATTTTGTTTGGATGATTTATTCTAAAAGACCTCCCACACGTGTTTTGTTTTTATCCTTCTAAGAGTTAGCACATAGTTACAACAGTGACGCAAACGTCCTTTTTTAAAAAACCAAAAGATGAAATAGACTTATTTTCATTTTATTTTTCAAGGTAAAACCTGAATAATAATCCCACATATGCCCTCTTTACTCTGAAATTTGGATTACTGTTTAAGTGGATTCATTCTGTTGCTTTATTTTTTTCAGTACTAATTATCTTCAGATAATGAAGGCCTATCCCTTGGGATTTTTGTGACGATTGAATGAAATAATGGATATGTGCAAGACATCTAGGAAAATGCCACACTTGTTAGCGACTCTCTTACTCGTTTCTTGTTCATTTCAATTAGATGGGATTGGCATGAGCAAAGGGCAAGTATAAGAATGTGCATGTTGTGTTCATTTGAGAGCATTCAGCACGTCTCTGAATAAGATGAGACACAGAGTAGATACGTGAACAGGAATGTGAATTGAACATTTTGTCCCCATCGTCCTCCTCTCCCTACCAACTTTCTCTCTCTCTCTCTCACCCTCACTCATACACTCACTGTCTCAGAGCTAACAGTCTGGTGGAGAAGTCAGAGGTGAAAACAAGTACTCCTTGTACCTTATGCTTTGTAAGGGCTGCAATAGAAACACAGGGTCACGTGAGTGTGGAGGCAGGAATCATTTCCTTTGCTTAGGGGTGTTTGGAAGGTTTCACCAAGAGGGCGCTATTTGGGCTGGATGAGCAGTTGAAGTGGAGGAAACACATGGTGTAGGGTGAAGTGTAGGTTCTTGTGCAGATGTAGAGGCTATGGTGGCCGCAGTTTGGGAGAGAGCCATTCTCTCTGAGTTACGCGGAACTGTGAAAGTTGGTGTGTCTTTAATGCAGGTTTATTACCTGTATTACATACAGTAGAATTCACCCTCTCAGGGTGTTCAGTTTGATGAGTTTTGACAAATATGTATATATATATAATCCTGTAACCACCAGCACCACCACCAAGATAGAGAGTTTGCATCACCCCAGAAAGTTCTCGTGTGTAGCTTTGTCCTGAGCCTCTGGCAAGCCCTGATCTGATCCAGAATACACATAGAATCATCATCTGTAACCTTTGACATCCGGCTTCTTTCACCGAGCGTGATGGTTTTAAGATTCATCCATGGTGTTATGTATATTGGTAGTTTGTGTGTGGAAGGTTTAAAAATTAAGGAAAGCTCTGCCATTTTAGGACAGTGGATCTGCTGGTAGATGCATTATGCTGTCTGGTTAGGATGATCGTCATGCCTGTGCGTGGCAATGAGGCCAGAAGCGATGTCATGGCAGAGGAAGTGGACGCGGCGGGGATTCGGTTGAAGTGGGACAGTGGAGCTGGGAGTTGGAATGCAGGATTTTAAGGAAGGAGTGAGAGAAGGTAGCAAAAACAGTAGGTTTAAAGCCGTCACTTTGTAGCAAATGGCAAGGAGGAATCTGGTTAGGGGGCTGCATTAGAGCCCCATGGAAAACCCAGGCAACTTTCTGCATGGTTGTAGGCAGAGGAGAATCAACCAGGGAGAGGAGAGAAGAACCCCAGGTGCTGGGAAGGGCGGAGTGTGCGGGGGCAGGTGGGGAGACAGGGAGAAGCATGGTTATTTTAGCTACTGTTGCGTGAGAGCTGAGGCACTGACTCTGGTGGGAGTTCTGCTCCCGAAAGTCGCTCTTGAGGTCTGGATTTTGTCAGGAGGCTGGGGGGCTAGGAAAACAGGCATCCGAATGATGTTTCTCTAAAGTTTCTACTTCTTGCTATAGTTTGAGCTTTAGTAAAGCAATCATATCTCATAAAATACCTTTAGGAGTTAAAAATCTATAAACATTTTGCAAGTTTACTATAAGATACTGTTTGATAATAAGGATTTATGGTGACATGTCATCTGCTTGCGATACTCTTGAATAGCTTCGGTAGAAAAGGCTCTGCATTTAGATCAGGACCTAACTTCTAGGAAGAAAACAATATATTCTTACCAGGGAAGCTCTCACAGACTTCTGACCCTATCCATGATACCTCAGTAAGTGTTTCTTGCCCCTAGAAATCACTTACTTTCTCATGAAGAGAAGCATTCATAAAGAGTGCTAAGCCATGTTGTGCCTCTGGATTTAAACCAACCAACCAAACAAAAAAACTTGTAACCACAGGCACCAATGACCCAGTAAAGGTGATGATTTGGTGACGCAAGGGAGGCCAGATGGTAAAATACCCTGCTGACTGAGGTGAAGGCTCTGTCTTAAATACCAAGGAAACGGTGTGACTAGAAAATTATAAGAATATGAAAATAGCCCACCTTTGATTCTTAAAAAATTTTTTTAGTTTTGCTGCTTGAGAAGATAGAGCGTGATGACTTCTGCAATAAAACGTTGAAGATTACAGATTTCGGGTTGGCAAGAGAATGGCACAGGACTACCAAGATGAGCGCAGCGGGCACCTATGCTTGGATGGCGCCAGAAGTCATCAAGTCTTCCTTGTTTTCTAAGGGAAGTGACATCTGGAGGTAAGCACCATGCTTTTTGCTTTTGCAGATGGCTGCAGAAAATGGTTGCTACGTCTCCTTTAAGTGAGTCCCAGAGTTTTGAGTAACTGAGCGTGACAGAGAATACAGGCCTTTTCTTCAGTATACTCACTGGAGGTATCTTCTCTCAAAATCTGTTTCTTTTTCTTATGGTGATTCTATATCAATATTTATTTATTTATTTATTTATTTAGGTTTCAGGAGTAGAACTTAGTGATTCATCACTTATATATAACACCCAGTGCTCATCACAAGCACCTTCCTTAATGCCCATCCCCCATCTAGCCCCTCCCCCATCCACGTCCCTCCGTCAACCCTCAGTTTGTTCTCTATCCTTAAGAGACTCTTATGGTGCCTGGGTGGCTCAGTCAGTTAAGTGTCTGCCTTTGGCTCAGATCATGATCCCGGCGTCCTGGATCGTCATGATCGGCGGGAAGCCTGCTTCTCCCTCTCCCTCTCCCCTGGCTTGTGCTTTCTCTCTCTCTCTCTCTTTCTGTCAAATAAATAAACAAAATCTTTAAAAAAAATGGGGGGGTCTCTTATGGTTTACTTCCCCCTCTCTCTTTTTTTCCCCCTTCCCATGTGTTCATCTGTTCTGTTTCCTAAATTCCACATATGACTGAAATCATCTGGTCCTTGTCTCTCTGACTGACTTATTTCACTTAGCACAATATACTCTAGCTCCATCCACCCCATTGCAAATGGCAAGATTTCGATTTTTTGATGGCTGAGTAATATTCTGTTGTGTATATATACCACATCTTCTTTATCCATTCATCAGTTGATGGACATTTGGGCTCTTTCCACAGTTTGGCTTTGTTGATAATGCTGCTATAAACATTGGGGTGCACGTACCCCCTTTGAATGTGTATTTTTGTATCCTTTGGGTAAATACCTAGTAGTGCAATTGCTGGATCATAGGGTAGTTCTATTTTTAACTTTCTGAGGAACCTCCATACTGTTTTCCAGAGTGGCTGCACCAGCTTGCATTCCCACCAGCAGGACAAGAGGGTTCCCCTTTCTCTGCATCCTCGCCAACACCTGCTGTTTCCTGTGTTATTAATTTTATCCATTCTGACAGGTGTGAGGTGATATCTCATCATGATTTTGATTTGTATTTCTCTGATGATGAGTGATGTTGGGCATCTCTTCATGTGTCTGTTGGCCATCTGGATGTCTTCTTTGGAAACATGACTGTTCATCTCTTCTGCCCAATTCTTAATTGGATTATTTGTTTTTTGGGTGTTGAGTTTGATAAGTTCTTTATAGTTTTAGACACTAACCCTTTATCAGATACGTCATTTGCAAATATCTCCTCCCCTTCCATAGGCTGCCTTTTAGTTTCGTTGATTGTTTCCACATCTGTTTATTTCTAACTGTTTTGCAAGTACAGTTGTCTGATTTTCAGTAAAAGCAGCTAGTTGGAAGAGGGGAGAGAGTTGCTAAGTTGGTAAAAGTTGACAGCTGAAAACAAAGTAGGTATTCGGAAGAAACAAAGCATGAGATTCTGTGGCAAGGAGTAGAAACTAGCGGCCACTAGAGCCACCTAGCTGTGGAGCCAAGGGTCTGACACACCTGGAGCATGCATGAATCCGGGGAAGCATACTTGAGCCCTTGGACGTCAGGGTGTGGAAGCGGGGGTGGCCCCCACTCTGAATTGCACATTGCTTTGCTCTAGAATCTCCCTTTATAACGTTCACAGAAGAATAATTTCATTCCAGAGAGGTTACTTAACTCTGTGCAGTGGACTAGTATTCTGGGATACGGACTGGTGCATTAAGTAGCATGTTCACTGGTCATCTCTCGCCCTTCTTCCTTCTTCCTGGTTATTACAGCACAAAGTAACTCAGACGCTGTCACTGAATTTTTACAGTATCTCCTGAGATTACCACACTTCCACAGAGTAGGTAACCAAGGCACTGGGACATTAAGACATTTCCTCGGGTTATAAAGCTAGTAAGCAGTTATACTCACATCCCAGGCCTGGGAGCCAGGTTCCTGCAACCACAGCCCTTGCTTATCAGGCTACCTGAGTTCTCAGGAGACCTCTTTATTTATACTGTATCCTACCCCGTTTCGGAGAACAAAAGAAAATGCATTACATTCTGTAAATAGCCCCATCGAAATAGTTCTGTTTTTTTCCATGTTTGTTTTTTTTTTTTAACACATGGGTTTTTAAAATAAGCCCTCTGCTCTCTAGAAAAATGACCTGTCTTGAATTATTTGTTCGCTGTAATTCCCAAGAAGCAAAGTTATGTTGTTATTGTTTATTTTAGTTTTGTTATATGCTAAAGAGAATAGCAAGGAAGTGGCTTTGAATTTAGACAGTTTTCAGTTATCTTCAGGATTTTTTTTTGTCCCTTTCTCTGAGGTGATTTTTGTTGATTGATCTATGAGTTAAATTTACTTATTCTTACAATTAAAGTGTCTCTGCTAAGGCACTGTAATGTAGGTAATTTTTAAGAAACTAAACAGGTAATTACCTATGGAAAATACTGGATCCAACTTAATTGCTAATAGTGATAGCATTATATAATTTAAAAGCCCTATATTATATATTCCCCCCCCTTTTTTTTTTTTTAAAGATTTTATTTATTTATTTGAGACAGAGAGAATGAGAGACAGAGAGCATGAGAGGGAGGAGGGTCAGAGGGAGAAGCAGACTCCCCGCCGAGCAGGGAGCCCGATGCGGGACTCGATCCCGGGACTCCAGGATCATGACCTGAGCCGAAGGCAGTCGCTTAACCAACTGAGCCACCCAGGCGCCCCGTCCCCTTTTTTTCAATATAAAACAGTGCTTTGAGATGGCAGAGCAGACATCACTTTTACTTTATAGGTCAGTTAATTCAGGATTGGCTGTTAAGGGCTTTGTGAGTGGAGACGTAGCTAGTAAGTAGTGATACTCCCCAAACTCAAGTCTGCAGCTTCCAGATGCAGCTGCCTTTCACTGGTGCCCTGGTCCTCCACCTGCTCAGGGAAGGAGCCCTGGACCCAGTGCCCTCAAGACTCAAACACCTTCACTTAGAGCTGGTGGAACATCAGCTGGAGGATCCCTGAGGCCCCACTGGTTGGGCACATTCTGTCGTTTCTAAATTCTTATTCAGAAAGTTTTCAGTAGATAGAATAGGATCCAATAGGCACTGATGGAGAGCTTTTTAAATGAGAGGTTATCATATCTGGGATGACCTGAAGCTGGAGTCTAGAGAGTTTCCAGCTCTTTGCAGACCAGGTCTTCAGAGACGGCTTGTTCTATTATAGTCGTGATGCTCTGAGTCCCCATATCTCTTTAGATCAGAAGATAATCAGATGAGACTCAGACATCAATTCCATAGCCAAATTTAAATGCTTTTTTTGATGTTATTCTGAGCTGTTCTGCCTTTCCTTTAGGTGTATTTTACTACCTTCTGTCTGCTATCTTTAAAATGATGCTTTAATGTTCTATATAAGCAACAAGCTATGAGAAATGAGAATTAAGTTACTACTCTAAATTTCAAACTTTTTTAAAACTTAAAGCTAATGATGTTTTCAAAAATTAGAAAACTAAATAAGAATGTACTAGTTATGTTAGTAAATTAAAAAAAATAAATATGACTGTTGCTTATATGCCTGTGTGTTTCCATTTAAAATCACATGGAATGTCTGGAGTGAGTGATATTTTATGTATTAACAAAAGATAATTTGTACTTTATGTTTTGAAGAAGATAAAGGGAAACTAAGGTACTAATGGATACAGAGTTACAAAGAAGATGTGTTTTGTCCCACCAGCAGGCACAAGAAGGCCCATGCTGATTTTTTTTGTCCATAACTATTAAGCAATATGGTAGAAAATATGAAGGGAGAGGCAGAAAGATAAACAGTTTCAAAAAAAAAAAAACCATTTAAAAATAGTCAGCATTGTTTGATCTAAGTCCTGTGGTGCATAGGATGAGATTTCTGTCAGTGTCCTGACAGTCCTCAAGAGGTTTAATTCCAGTGTAAAAAAATGAGATAGAAGGAGAAACATCAAAACCACCACATTAAAGTGTGACCTGGTTCTGGACCTGATTTGATTCAATTATGTACTGCTCCTATACTTTCCTATTCATTAGGTAGTTTTAATTCCTGTCATGAATGCATAACTGATTTCTGGGAAGGTGTGTACTTATATGCGTTTGGGAGGTTCGCTGGAAGAGCCCACTTCCCACCTTGGGATAAGTGGCACTTAAGGGTTTTGTTGGAAGAGAAGATTCTTAATCAGAGCTGGATGAGGGCTCTGACGCATTTATCCCACCATTTGTGTCATAAGGAAAAGACATCACTTAACCCATGTGACTTTATGGCAGTTTTGCTTTGCAGCTACGGAGTCCTACTGTGGGAGCTGCTCACGGGAGAAGTCCCCTACCGTGGCATCGATGGGCTCGCCGTGGCTTATGGGGTAGCAGTCAATAAGCTCACTTTGCCCATTCCATCCACCTGCCCTGAGCCATTTGCCAAGCTCATGAAAGGTCAGTTTCTGTGTGTCTGCGGAGGCAAGGGGATTTGCTCAGGAGAATGTCTGTATATTTTTTAACCAAAAGAGTAATTTCTGTGATTCTAATTTTCAAATGCTTTTAAGCAACTATACTATTTAATGAATTAGAAACTTTGTCTTCAATCTAAGATGTCAGGTAAAGTATTGACAGATTAAGTAACTTTTTAAAAACCAATCTAGTTTTATCAGTGACACGTTTATGTACAAAATTTAACCAACTGGTAATAAAGTTTTCACCAAGTTACACCAGTAGCGCTCAAAGACAGAATTGAATTGGGTTCATTCTGCTATTTTAAGTTCTACCTCATGATCAAAAATGTTTAACAATCTTAACCAGCCCTGTTTTGCCATGACCTTATCTATTTGATGCTTGTCTTTTAAAAATTAACTGACTCTTTTTGCAAGCAGCTCGTTACCTTCCTTCATTATTAGGCCATTTCTTAGAACCTCTCTTGTGGTTATAACCTTTTAGAAACTTTGGTTTTCTTGGGGCGAGTTCGAGAACTCTGTATCTGTAAATCACCTGGCTAGCGCAGCTTAGGCCCCTGAAACAGAGTTCGTGGTAAGGCATGGACCACATAAGATAAACAACAAGAGCCTTACCTAATAGTAAATGTTATGCAGGCCACCAGCCTGGTCACTGTGTAAAATAAAATGTTCAAAACCATTATCAGTTGATTTTTAAAATCTTTAGCAGATTTTAAACCCATCTGCATGGGCTGGTAATCTGAACTATGCCAAGAAACAGAATTAATGGGGTTCTTGTTGATTTTAGAGTGCTGGCAACAAGACCCTCACATTCGTCCTTCATTTGCCTTAATTCTTGAACAACTGACAGCTATTGAAGGGACGGTTATGACCGAAATGCCTCAAGAATCTTTTCATTCCATGCAAGATGACTGGAAGCTAGAAATTCAACAAATGTTTGATGAACTGAGAACAAAGGAAAAGGTGAGAGATCTGTATTAATTGCATAATGTACCCACATCTCTGAAGATTATGGAAAACGTGAGTTAAGAACACTATTAGCGTTATTATAAAAGACTTTCAGGCATGAATCTTTATTGATTCTTACCTTCCAGTTTAAACAAAACAAAATGAAACTGTACTCGAGATGTGTAATTAGACCATAAACAACCTTTTATTAAGGGAATTTTCAAAAGTAAAACAAATTAAAAAAAGAGAATAGCAAACTAAACCCTTTGTACAAATTAACCAACTTCAGTAATTGTCAATATTTTGTCATTTTGTTCATCTCCTTTACACATTATCATCCTTTTTAAAAAATGGTTAACCTTAAATTAAGTCCTCGACTCATGTCATTTTACCCTTAAGTCTTCAATGTGCATCTCTAACTGGTAAGAATTTTAGAAATAACTTTTTACCATTATTACCTCAGAAAGTAACAGCAATTCCTTGATATCATGTAATATTCTATATTCAAATGTCACAGTTTGTCTCAAAGGTGTCTTTTTATAGTTTTTGGTTATGTCTTTTAAAGCCCTTTTTTATGCTAGACCACCCCCAACATACACACACACACACATCCTTTTATCTCCAAGGCATTGCTTTGTTGGAGAAAGTGGAAAAGTGTGTAATTTTTTAACTTTTTTTTTTTTTTAAAGATTTTATTTATTTATTTGAGACAGAGAGAATGAGAGAGAGAGCATGAGAGGGAGGAGGGTCAGAGAGAGAGGCAGACTCCCCGCCGAGCAGGGAGCCCGATGCGGGACTCGATCCCGGGACTCCAGGATCATGACCTGAGCCGAAGGCAGTTGCTTAACCGACTGAGCCACCCAGGTGCCCCACTGATTATGATTTTTTGTTTTTTAAAGATTTTATTTATTTATTTGAGAGAGAGAGAGAGCACATGAGAGGGGGGAGGGTCAGAGGGAGAAGCAGACTCCCCGCTGAGCAGGGAGCCCGATGCGGGACTCGATCCCGGGACTCCAGGATCATGACCTGAGCCGAAGGCAGTCGCTTAACCGACTGAGCCACCCAGGCGCCCTGTAATTTTTTAACTTTTTAATATGATGAGTTAAGCTCTGGTTGGTTTGTATATTTTAAGAAGAAGCAAAAAATAAACATGTATGTTAACTGTGCTGGAACTGCACGTATGCCACCACATGCCGAGTGACACGTGAGAAGTGAAGGCACACGGATCGGAGGGCAGGCGAGTTGGGAAGTGAGTTCAGTCGGCATGGCCTCCCTTAGGTCTAGACCTCACAGCCCTGAAGGACCCACCATTACAGCATGGCTGGGGGCTACCAGGGCAGTGCTCACTTTTTTAAAGATACTTCCATAGCACTTGAGCATTTTGATGAATCAAGGTTTATTCTGCTCATCAAGTGTGTAATTGTTCAATAGGTTAAATTCTGTTGTATGTGCAATAAATGTCTCGACAAAGTCCAACGTTGCAGGCTTTTGATAACCTTTATGAAGCCATGTAATTGTCCAGGAAGGAATTTTTATGCCTCATACATTTGTGATTCTGAAAGGGTGGAATTCTTTTGAAGAGGGCAGTAATGCTTTGCTAAATAGAGTCCACTCGCCGATCCCAGTTTACGACACTGAAACATGGTGGAGAATCAGTCCCCCACGTTAAAGTTACTTGGCCTTGTATGGTGTGGCTCTCTGTTACATCTCCAGACTTTTCCACTGACCGTAACACCAAAGGCTTGCAGTCAGCCCAAGTCCAAAGGTCAGGGCAGAAGAGGGAATAACAAGTTGTGGTGTGGATGTATGTGCATAAGCATTTCTTGAGCTAGAACATATAATACTGTGCGTGGTACCAAGACACCGTATGCCCACATTCTGTTCTTGAGTAGCTGACACTCACCATTGTCTTGCTGAACTGGAAATTAATACAAGGCATGTCATAGGTATTCCCCAAAGTGCAAATGGTTTCCTTAAAAATACATATAATTTAAAAATGTGTCTCTGGGGACCTTGGTCTGAGTTTCAAGGTCATGTTTTGTTTTCCCCAGCAAACAAGTGTTGACTGTGTACCGTGGGCTGGGAGCAGTGTTAGAGTCCTGGGATACAAAGATAGATATGACAGTCTGTATCCTTGAGGTCCTTAGAAGGCCAGGCTAGGGATTTGGGATCTTGTTGACAGGTTTTTAAAAGGGGCCGGCTATGTATCTTGGCACCATTTTCCCACTGGACACTGAAGTCAACCTACTCTCATCCCCTGCCCAGTCTTCCTTGATGATGATTCTTCTTCTTCTTCTTCTTCTTTCTCTTCTTCTTCTTCTTCTTTTCTTCTTCTTCTTCTTCCTCCTTCCTTTTGTAATGGGATTGCTGTTCTCATAGGTTACCCAGTCTTAAAGTTCTTAGAAGATATTTCTGGTGATCTCCTATGTGACAGAGCCCAGCAGTGGGAATCCCTCCCTCATCCCTTCCCACTTGCCTCAATGTGGCAGCATCCCACCTGGGTGCTCTGCATCCAGTCTTACTCCCCTCACCATCACCTCCAGTGACCCTTCTACAGTGCAGATGCAGAGCTGAGCATCCTTCTTCAATGGCCAGTCCCTTCCCTTATTAATTTCCTTTGTTCTAACATATTTAGCCTCACTTTGTCAGAATCATATTGCATTTCTTTTGGTTCCTCTGATGCCGTGCTCTTGACCTTTGGTCTTGGTATACATTCTCTTCTCTGTCCAGAATACTGTTCTCTTCCTCGCTTTTGGTCCCACCTCACAATTGCTGGATCCTTTACTGTCAGTCCCTCAGCTCCCTTCCCTTACTAGGACACACTGTGTCATGGCATCCCACACTTCCCTTGTTGGGGTTGGCGCTGAGTCCTGCTTCATTACTATTCACTTGCTTAATTGTACTTGGTTTGCCTTTTCTGCTAGGTAATAAGTTCATCAGCTGTGCTATCTTATTCTTGGTCATTTCCATCCACAGCATTGAACAAAGTACTCAGCACAAGGTAGATATGAAATAAGTTAACCTACATAAAGTTTCTTAATATGCTCCTGATAAGTATTCTAATAAGTGAGTGATATTAGCAATTATTGTTATCACATTATTACTGTTTTAAGTAAAAAGGAATTTAAATCTGTTCTGAATCTTATGCCATCAAAGAGGTGTACAACTCAGCTGTTTAACTGCTGCTTATGTGTTCTTGAGAGACTCCCACATGTGTGCACAGGGAAATTTTGGTTGTTCACTTCAGCGTGGTTGGGGAGAATGAAAACCTGGGAACGGCTTCAGTACCCATTAACAGGGAAGACACCTCAACTGCTATATATTGATTCAGTGGAAATCTGCAAACTAGTTAAAATAAATGGATTCTAGCTACATGTTTCAACATGGATAAATCTCAAACATAAGTTTGAGTGGGAAAAGCGAGTTGCAGAAGAATAGTTACATTAGATACCATTTATGTAAAATTATAAAACACATAAAACAATGCCATTCAAATGTACAAAAAGACTGAACGTACAGATAAGGGATGGGCAGAAAGCAACTGAGGCACAGCAGATCTGCAGAGGGAAGGGAGAAGATTAGAGTCAGCCGCACGTAGGACTTTAGCAGATCTGAGACGGATGAGGTTAAAAACTTAGCCTCTATTAAACATTGATGGTGAGTGCATGGGTATTTGCTAGTCTGTCTAATTGTAGTATATTTTAAATATTTCCATAATTTTAAATGATTAAAATAAAGACTAGAGAGAAATATGTAAACAGTTAAAGTCATTTTTTTTCAAGTAGTAGATGTGTACGTAATTCAGTCCCTTCTTGGATCTTTCAGTATTTTGTAAGTTTAACAATATAAAACAAGCAAATGCAGCCTTAGATGGTGGGTTTGATTGTCGGCACCAGGATTTAAAGAGCCTCCCAAGGAGGATGATCTGGAAGACAGGAGAAGGACCTGGGAATCCATCCAATCTGAGCAAAGAACAGAAGGGGTGCAGACGGAGCTGGTACTTTCAGGGGCTACCCTGGAATACTGGAAGAACTTGAAGGGAGGAAATATGCTTCCTGTTGTTTCAGAGTTTGGCAGTAGCACTTCTTGGGTGAAAGCTCCGGGGATTAAAACGTGGTCTCCGAATCAACGACTTTCCAACGCTTAGAGCAGACAGCAGTGCGGTAGACTGTATTCGGCTTCCTTCCCTCGAGGGATTTGAGCAGACTAAGGGGATATCTAAATGGGATTCTAAAAACTCTGATAGACCCCCCTCCCTTTTTTAAATATACATTTATAGCAGAGTGCCAAAATCTATAGCAGTCTAGCAAAGTGGTTAAGACTAGGGCCAGACGGCTGGCTGGAATTGGGGCTCTACTGTTTGCTGACCCAGGACTGCTCCCCCCCAACCACCTCCTCACCATGAAATATCCACAGAAAGGCTGCTGTCTCCCTGGGGGTGCTGTGAGGCTTGCTGAGTGCTGTATGCAGAGTGCTCAGAGCGGTGCCCGTGCTCGGCAAGTGCCAAAGAGAGTGGTGATTTTGATTGGAACCAGAACGGGTTCCAGTGGCCGCTACCATTTCCTGGGCCAGACAGGAAACTGGGCTCCTCTGAGCAATAAAATGCTTGAAAACGACCCGACCGGATTACTTTTTAAATCTTGCATTGAGTTGAAGGATTACTTTCAGTGATACTATTAATACGTTTCTTGGAAACTTTAATACTTTTCATTGACTTAATATGATAGGGAAAATACTGACTTTTTTTTTTTTTTACACTTTCCCAAATTGTTCTCAGGAATTCTAAGGTTAGATGTTTAATAGCAAAAATAAAAAAGATTTAGGGGCATGGGAGTGGACTTTGAGGAAAAATAAATCATAGGATTTATAGTTTAGAGGTGATATTATTAATAATTATGATTTTTATCTATTTCATTTATTTATTTTAAATTGTTGGTAATTATGACACTGCAGGATAGAAGCATATCCAGTGAGTTAATTCTTACTATATATGTGGTATAAAAGTCAAAAAGCGTCCTTCAGAAATCATGTCTGCTCTTTCTCCATTTTGGGGGTTTATAGTAGTTTGTTTATTATTCTTTGGATTCATTTTTGAGCTATCCTCTGGTGATGTCTTTGCTTTTTCTTTTTATATTCTTTTTGTACAGCGCCCCTTGAAAATACAGCATTCGTGGTATCTTGTGAGCCTTTGACTTAAAATTAAAGGGAATATATAATGCTTTTTATTTTTCCTTAAAGGTTTCTAACTGCCGCTTTTTTGACAGAGTCAAAAGCACAGTGTACGTGCACTATCTCCCTTTCTTGTTCACTGATTGCTTAAGGTAGGAGGCGTCAGACTTGGAATTAATGGTCAGTAACTTGGCTGTGCTCTGCGTTACTCAGTAAACTGCAGCCTCCACAGATAACAGTTCCTCCCTAAATTCCTGGCTTCTTATCTTCATGTGTCTGTCTTTGTGCATTGGGTGCACGCACCTGGTTTTGAACCACTATGAGAAGGCATGTCACCATTAATGATTAACATCTACTGCCAGGAATCTTGATTTGCCATTATTAGAATGGCCCGTGCCAAGCAATTAAACAAATATTACTGCTTAGAAATCTCAGCAACCAAAAGAATTTTTGTGTGTGCTTCATAATTTCAGAGTATTCAAAGGGGTGCCTTTTTTTTTTCGTTTACTTTTGAATGTTTTAAAATTCATTCAGAAGGAAGAATACTTCGGCTGCTTTCTTTTGATCTTTTTTTTTTTTTCTTTGATGAAGTCTTGGGCAAGTGATTTTTTTTTTTTTTTTTTTAATTTATAAAGTCATTGCCAGAGAATTCACATTTTAGCTTGGGACCTGGAATTAAACAGGGTTTCTTCTTCAATTATTGTTGTAGTAACACAAAAAAAGCCTAATTGAATTTGCTGCCCTTATCTGTTCCCCATGCCATTTCATTTCACAATAGCTAATTGGATTGACACCAACACCACTGAAAAGTAATATCTTAACAAAAGGGCAGACAGTAATGAGTTAGAAATTGGAAGTTGACTGGAAAGTATCCTCTGTCCCCAGATACACGACTGTAAGATCTCCAGTTTGGACAAACTGGTTGGAGAAAGCCATCAGTTAAATAATGGATTCCAGAATTTTTTCTAATATGTACCATTTTCTTTTTTTTCTTTTTTTCCCTTTTCACGTAATAAATAGTAATTTCTGTCTGGGGCAATGTAATGAAAAAAATACTGATCTGCTTATAAATAAGAATCAGTTGATAGATATCACCAGAAGTGACTTGAATATCAACTGGTCTTAAGTAAATCTTTGCTTTTGCAATTTTATGAAGTTTGTTTAGAAAAAATAAATTTAAAGAATGTTTCAAAGGCAAATTTCAGCCCACTTTGGTAAATTTACAATAAATTCAGAATTTGTTTGATCTGATTAATTTTTTGTTTTTTTTTTTTAGAGCTCCCTAGTCTCTTCTTGATATTATTATATTTATTTGTGGAAGGAGGGTCTTCTATGTTTTCCTCTATGATAATTGTACTGATGAATAGCCTCCAAATATTCTTGGAGCCCATCTATAAAAAGTCCAAGGGATTAGTAGACTTCAGTTGATATTTTAGTCCCATGGTTCAGCTCTGGTTTCTCCCATGAGCTTTATTTTATAGTGTCCTTTCATGCATCAGTACTCTTGAGGTGGGCTGTGTAAAGTGGCCTGCTTATATATGTGTGACATGTTTGCCCGATGCTCAGAGCTCCCAGAGTTCCCAGCCCAAAGCTGCATCTGAGAAGGCATCTACAGTTTCTAACAAAGATCTTGGTATTAGGATGGTCTAAGATTAAATTCTCTGGAGCAGTGTAAATAAAAGTTTGCAAATGCCTTGATTTCTGTGGGAGTGCTTGATTTAGTAGCAGGGTAATCAAGAAGAGAAAGTAGCTCAGCCCTGAAAGGAATATTTATGTCTCTGGTATAGGACAGATCATTTTATACAAATGAAATAAGAATGGAGATGTGATTTAAAAACTCTGAGAGCTCTTGGTTTTACTATTGAATACATTTTTCCTAAAGGAACAAACGTACAGTTGATCCTTGAACAACATGGGTTTGAACTGTGTGGGTCCACTTATACATGGCTTTTTTCAATAAATAGAGTACTGTAAATGTATTTTCTCTTCATTGTTATTAATAACACTTTCTTTTCTCTAGCTTACTTTATTGTAAGAATACACTATCTAATACATATAACATACAAAATACATGTTAATTGGCTATGTCATCCATAAGGCTTCCTGGCAACAATAGGCTATTATTATTGGTTAAGTTTTGGGGAAGTCAAAAGTTATTTATAGATTTTAGATGGCCCGGTGGGGCTGGGGGTGGGTCAGTGCTTCTAACCCCATATTATTCAAGGATTAACTATATTCCTCTATATTAACTATATTCTTCAATTCATAGATTTTTCTATCAAGTTAAATAATTCTGAAACCAAAACCAAGAGGAAGTTAGACTTTAATCAGGAAGCACTGAGGCAGCAGGATTTTATGAGCTAATACATGAGATCTGTGTATAACCTGATACTTTGCATTCATCCATGGGGTCCTGAAAAGTTCATTTTCATTTGAAAAGTTCATTTTCCATTGACTTTTCATTTTAGAGATGCTCATTTTCATTTCTGATGGGCCTTCAGCTAACTTCGAACACCTTAGCTTTGTTCTTCCTTTAACCTCTCCACCATGATGTTTCAATCTCTGAGCAAATTCTTAAAGAACCTAAAGAAGTTCTTCCAAAGTAAAGAAATCTGAACTGCAGTCTTTTGTAAGGAGAATAATTATCCCTTAATTAGTCGAGCTTTAACTTTTGGCTTTATTTGGAAAAGGGTTGTTCCCACCTGTACTTTGTTGCTCTATGTTAATGTACATTTTATGTGCCAAGTGATTATATTATAAAGGCTAGAGGTGAGAGAGAAATGTTGAAATCGGGTGTAAAAAATTTTTGAGGACCGTAAGACTGAGAGCGTTGCTGGAGCCCGTGCAAGGCTTTCGTTGTCGTCTAAGTCAGTGCTGTGCTAGAAAGATTTGCGCTCCGACCATCCTACCCGCCAGGAGTGCGGTCCCAGGAGCCCTGGAGTGGCCGGGGCTGAGCTGAAGAGCAGGAGACCCAGCTTCTTGCTGACACCAGGTGTGCTCTCTGCCCCAGGAGCTGCGGTCCCGCGAGGAGGAACTGACCCGGGCTGCCCTCCAGCAGAAGTCCCAGGAGGCGCTGCTCCGGCGGCGGGAGCGGCAGCTCGCCGAGCGGGAGATCGACGTGCTCGAGCGGGAGCTAAACATTTTGATATTCCAGTTAAACCAGGAGAAGCCCAATGTCAAGAAGAGGAAGGGAAAGTTCAGGAGAAGTCGGTTAAAGCTCAAAGATGGCCATCGAATCAGTTTACCTTCAGGTATGATTTTCGTCCTCCTGTTTCGTAAGAGTTTTGAATGTCGCCTCTGTAATCGGCTTTGCTTCTTTAGCGCTGGGAAGAGATGGGAGAATGAGATTTTAAAAACATTACGTGAAGGGCGCCTGGGTGGCTCAGTCGTTAAGCATTTGCCTTAGGCTCAGGTCACGATCCCAGGATCCTGGGATGGAGCCCTACATCGGGCTCCCTGCTCAGCGGGAAGCCTGCTTCTCCCTCTGCCTCTCCCCCCTGCTTGTGATCTCTCTCTCTCTCAAATAAATAAAATCTTTTAAAAAAATAAAACATTATGCGAATAAGTATCTTCACTTGCTTGCTTCAGTCCGTGGTCATAAGATAATGACCTAACTCATGTTCACGTGCAAAAAGCATCAGTCGTGCCTTTACACCACATGGTGTGCTGAGAAGTTAGCTCTTGGCATGCTTTCCTGTAAAGGGATTCAGAGATTTACTCCTTTTAAAATCAAAGCAGGATTTCTTCTTAGTTCAATGCACTGAACCAGCATTGCATGGCATGGTGAAAAAATCCTGAACAACAGAATTACTGCTATTTTGTCATTCCACAAAGATCTATAATGTCATCTGGTAACTGAGTTCATTTGGGACATTGAAGATGTTGTTTGTACCTTCAACAAAATATATCAAGTACTTCAATTACATACCTGTCAGTTTTCATCTGAGATGCAAGTATTTTTAAAAGCTTCTCTAGATTTACTGGTTCATTTTTATACCTCCTGGATTTTAAAACATTGTGACAGTTTTAAACATTGTAATGTGTTAGAAGAAACTAAACAGAATAGAAAATAGCATACATAGATCCATTCACGAAATTAAATTCTTTAACAGTACATGTTATACTTGATTTAAGGAAAAACCAAATACCCCTCCCCTGCCCCCATATTTTATGATTCTTCTAATACTGGGGAAGAATGGTGACAGAACAAGAGCTGACTGCACTTTTACGGAATGTGCATTAAATATCTATTTATCTCTTCTCCTTATCTTTCCACCTCTCCCTATATGTATTATAGAGTCTCTTTAAGGATGCTAGTGTTGTCCTAAGATGTTTGTTAATGGTATGAAAACTGATTTTAAATAACAGTATCAACAGTTTTGTTTTATATATAAAGTATGTACAAATTGCCTTGTAAAATTATTTATTGCAAAGTACTCAAAGGCTTGAACATAATGTGACTTTCTAGGTTATTGCAGAAACCCTCAGTTGATCAGAAAATCGCTGATATGTGGCAATATACCATATACATTGATTATTTGGTTTGCTGAAGTGAGACTAGGCTGTGGGTCCTTACTCATTTTACCTTTGACCTCTCTGAGGGAAAAAAAGATACTTTTTCAGGTTCTCTTCTCTTCAGGTTTGCTTTTTAGCCAAAGTGTAACTTGGGGGACCACGGACTGTGCTATCTTGTATATCAGACATAATTTAAAATAGACTATTTTATTTATGATGAGGTTTCTGCTTTCAAGTGTAGATGATAGAAAAATTCAGAGAGGCACTCCCATGTGCATTTTCTCCAGTTCTTAGCTATATCAGCCTTCTAGTTTGTTGTGACTATGTTATCCTGATTAATATTCACTGATTCCTTGGGAAACTTTGGAGGGGGTGGCCAATGAGAAACTGATAGAGAATAAACTTGGAAGAAAAAATTAAATCATTCCAGTGATTCTTTAATCTTCAGTGGTCAAATGATTAAAGAACATATCTCAGGATTACTGAGGTCACTTTCACTCCTGTTTTTCTTCTCAAATCATGTTTGGCCAATATCTTGTGTTCATTCAAAGGAAGCTGAATGCATTTGACTATTTTTGCTAGATTTATATTATTCCTGGATTGCACTATTTGGCTCTTCTCTCTCTGAGAATTTTAGTTACACATTTATGTACCTTGTGGCACTTAACAAATGATTCCATTTAAAACATATCCCTCAAAATCTGCTATAATCCGAATCCATCTTGAAGGAATGAAATTCAGTTGCGGTAATTTAGCATGGCATTTACCTCTTCTGGCCACAAGGTGACACTACATTGTTGTCACACTGTTACCACTGTGGAAACTGTTTCTCTTTAGAATCCCCCAACTCTTCACCCTCCCCCCCACACACATATACACGCATACACACACACACACACACACATTTACTTGCACAATGTCCCAAAGCAGGATACATATCCAAAGATGCAAGGAGAAGAATGGCAACTGTAACAATACTTAACTTTTCTCCTTCAGGAATTTTGCTTAGTATAGAAGGGAAAGCAGTTATTTGTGCCTTAAGTCCAAGAAAGTTACTATCTGCTAGAAAATTCTTTGAGTTACCAGATGTTAGTACTATTTAATGGTAAACTATTAAGGAAGAAACATCTGACAGGCAGTAGGTTGAATGGCAGTGATACTTTCTTTTCATTGTACCAAATTACTCCAAGCCCTTTTGCAGGAATTTTCCCCATGTATAACTAGCTTAAAGATTTTCTCAGAAACATATTTGAGACTCCTACAAACTGGCTTTTAGTATCTGTGCCTGTACCTCTTTCAAAACCTTGTTATTAAGTGCGAATAATTATCATAATTTTGTCCTTCAGAATCACTGAAGATGACTTTTAATCTTATGGCTGGTTATAGCTATGATGACTTACTGCTAGAAAACTCAAATGTAGTTCTTCCCATTGGCAATCCTTCATGGGGACCTAACCAAATAAGGATAGATGCTTACAAAAGGAGGCAACATAATCTAAGACAAGAGTTTTTAAATTATATTTTATGAATTCTTGGAATTTGCAGGAAGAAAAAATGATCATGGTAGATCTTTTTCTATTGCGACCACTTTCCACCGCGTGCTCTGCATTTTGTTTATCTTAAACCAAAGTTGTATTTTTAGAACATATAAAACAAGGCAAAGAGGTTTTGAACCTTCAAAATGTTTCTAAAGCAATGGCATTCCAATTTCAACCACTTCAGAAATGCCGAAAGTCTGCCACAATCATCCCCCTCATGTGTGCGAATGTGAGAGTGGGTGTATGTACATGCAAATACAACTACTTTCAGGGTCAAAATGATTATTCCCTCTGAGACTATCATGAAACCTTGCCAATAAAAATACTAGTGTAGGTTTTACCCAAAAGCCTGTGGACCTCACGATAATCTGCCATGAGAAAATTATTCTCTCAAGTACAAAGAAAAATAACGCCAGCCAGTTTCATAAGCATATAACTGGGACAGAGTCAACCTTTCCCCACTTTAGAGGGACAAGGATATTTATAATAAGAAATATTTTCTCTATGTTTGAAAACATAAAGAGTGCCCTTTTTTTGAGGGAGAGAAATTAGACTTTTTTAGAAGTAGGTATTGTTGAAGTCCAGTTTTGTATCTTTGCTACTCTTCCTTGGCCTCACAAATGTTCTATGCTGGTTACCTGGCCATCATCTGTTCCACTTGGTTTATGGTTCACATGCTATGGGTTGGCTCTGTGTTCTAGTTCTGAGGGCAGCAAGAGCACACCCGCCTTCTGCCCTGGGCTGGAGTGTCTCGGAGAATTTGCTCCCAGAGTGTTATGACATGTCATGGGCTAGTTGAACTTTGACAAAGCACTTCAATCTAAAGTAAACTCTTTTGTATCGATGGGTAAGGGTATTTCTTTCTTTTACTCTTTCCCCTCCCTCCTAATCCAGTCCATTCCCATGTCCTGCTAAACTGTTTTCTTGCACCCATTCTTCACTTAAACTGCTCTGCCTGGTCAGATCTTCCATTTTTCTTACTTGGTAGATGGAAGGAGCCTCCTATCTGGTCCTTCATTTCCACTCGCTTTGTCTTCCAAACCACCAAATCACCATACACACTGCTATATATATCTCAGCAGTTAACTGTAAGCTCCAGTTTGATTCTACTGCAAAGCCTTACACCATCTTCTCATTCAACAAATACTTGCGGATTTACCGTGATCAAGTAGTAGGGATTACGAGAAAATAAATACAGTCTCTGCCCTTACTTTACTTACAATCTTAAACAGAGAAAATACTGACTCAGCAGAGATTCCCTAAGTACCTTTTCTGGGTGAGGTGCTGTGCCAGCCCGCAGTGGGGTGTTGCTGGGATGGAGATTTCTGGCCCCTGCTCCAACAGAGCTGACGTTGTCCTGGGGGCAGGGGAGTGAGCCCTAAGCTAATAATTAAATACTTATTTACTTGCTAAGATGATTAACTACTATGAGGGCAGGATCACATGACTGATTAGCAGAGAGGTGTCACCTGCTCTAAGGAGAACATAGAAGGCTTGGTCCTTCCCAGGAATTGAAAAAGACCGCTGTGGTTTGTGGGGGGTCAGCAAGTCCAGCCTCCGACCCATTCTGTGCAGTCCACACAAAGGTTCGTGCACTTTTAAACACTTGAAAAGAATAAGAAGAATGATATGTGGGGTGCCTGGGTGGCCCAGTCATTAAGCGTCTGCCTTCGTCTCAGGTCATGATCCCAGGGTCCTGGGATCGAGCCCTGCATCGGGCTCCCTGCTCCGCGTGAAGCCTGCTTCTCCCTCTCCCACTCCCCCTGCTTGTGTTCCCTCTCTCGCTGTGTCTCTCTCTCTCTGTCAAATAAATAAATAAATAAAAGAAGAACAATATGTCATGGCATGTGAACATGATATGAAATTTAAATTGCCATTTCCATAAATAAAGTTGGATTGGAACGCATTTATGTATCACGAACGATTGATTTCTCGCTACATCAGCAGATTTGAGTAGCTGTGACAGAGGCCGCATGGCCCACAGTGCCTAGAATATTTCCTCTGTGGCACTTTATGGTAAAAGTTTGCTGACCCCAGGTTCAGACCATAGCAAGTGACAGGAGAACAGGGCAGGATGAGGCTGGAGGCACGAAGAACCAGACTCGAACTTGAGGGGCTTACAGAGTATATGACGGTTTTGATCTCTGTAACCTAAGAAGTAAGGCAGAGCCTTTGAAGACTTGTCAGCAGGGGAGTGACATGGGGTGGCATACATTTTTAAAATGCATCTGGCTGCTGTAAGCTAGACCCGAGAGGCCCAGTGCAGAGGCAGGAAGATCAAAAGAGGAACTAGGGCAGCTCATGGAATGGGGGTGGCAGTGCAGAGAACAAAAAGAATCGCTAACATGCATCCAGCACAGAGTCTGTCCTGAGCCCCGAGCTGAGTATTCCCTATACTTCTTTATAGTTAATTGTTCAGCGCTGCCCTACAGAGTAGGAATCGTGATTTATTTCCCACTTTTGTACATGGAGATACTGAGGTGCCTCCTGAAAATTCATGTGGCTGGTAAGTGCTAAGCTGGGATTCACATGTGGAGTTTACTACTTCCAGAAGCTAGAGTATAAGTTTCTCAACTATAACTCTCAGATGAATCTGTAGCACAGAATTGGCAACGTATTTTGTGTTTGTGTGGGTATGGAGGGTCAGGGAGAAGAAGACAATATTAAACATTTTCGGATGTCCAGCATGAATGATTGGAGAGATGTCTTGCTTACAGAATTACAACTCCTCCTCATTTCAAATACCAGCTGGTTCTTTAAAGTTCTTTACAGTGTAAAGTATAATTTTCAAAAAGGAAAATTATAGCTTGCTTGCAAGTATGAAATGAACTCATGTCAAAGATTTTTATCCAACTCACTAATAATTAGGACAATCAGTTAAAACTGGTTTCAATGAGAATTTGAGGAGCTAAGTATTTGTGGGCAAGTTAATAAGGGAATGTTAGGGTTAGATTGCTAGGTTAAATACAAGCCTGGTTAGGGCCCAGTGTGGCCATAAACCATAACCTTTGTGATTGTCTTTCACACCAGACGGAAATTGTTTGCATCATTACCAGACAGAATCTACAAGTTACCCTCTGCCCCCTACCAAGTTGTAAAAACAGCCACTAGAAAATCAAAGGTTAAGCTGAGCAGTGCACTGAAAGAACACCCAGTAATTTCTTTTACCTGTGCCTGAGGTTTTGATAACTTTTCCAACAGTTGACAGAGTTTTCCCAGGCACTCTCTTCTTCCCTCTGGTAATATTAACTCCTCCTTCCATATATTCCTAGTTGTTGGCATTCACTTCCACAACAGCTGCCTATCTTACCGTTAGGTCATAGGACTACAGAATGCTTTTAACTGGGGCAGGGTTGGGGGAGTTTTCCTGGACCCTCTTAGGGTCCCTGGCTGGGTCTGAAAATCAGACTGTCAAAGATGGATTAACGGGGGGAAAAAAAGCATAAAAATTATTTAACATAAGTTTGATACGACAGGGGAGACTTCATAAGGAAATGAAGACCTAAAGAAACAGACCGGAGTATTTTTCTACTAGGTTTAATGAAGAGTGGACGGTCGTGAAGAAATGTGATAGGTTAAGGGAGGTGTTTTGGGGGATAGCATGTCCCAAACCCCCTGTAACCTGCATTTTCTGTTTTAATCACCACAGCAACACTGTGCAGTATTCATTGTTTCTGTCCAACAGTTGAGGAGACAAGCTCAGAGGGTTCCTTATGGTTTGAGGTCCATACTTCGTTCATGACAGAACCAGGACTCATTGAAATCCAAGGTGTCTCCTCTTTCAAATTTGTTTTCCACAATGTTAGACTACACGAAAGTAATTTTTCTTCCTAGAAGATGGTTAGGTTCTACAAGTACTCAATAGTGTCCCATTGGTCTGTGACCATGTGTCTGACTGTACCTAACATATCCTAGACTCTGATTATTTTTTTTAAAGATTTTATTTATTCATGAGAGACAGAGAGAGAGATGCACAGGCAGAGGGAGAAGCAGGCTCCCCACGGAGCAGGGAGCCTGATGAGGGACTTGATTCCAGGACCCCGGGATCACGACCTGAACCGAAGGCAGATGCTCAACCAACTGAGCCACCCAGGCGCCCTCATAGACTCTGATTATTATTGACTCGAGCCCTGAATGGAAGATAAGAAGGAAACCAAGAAACAGACCCAGAGATGCTTCCTTCTTACCCTCTGGCAGATTTTCCTCTTATTGCTTTGTGCTGACGAAGAGCCTGTGAATATGGACAGCCTAAAACCATGAAATCTCAATTCTCACTTCTTTGCATATCCAACAGATTTCCAACATAAAATCACCGTCCAGGCCTCTCCCAACCTGGACAAACGGAAGAGTTTGAACAGCAACGGCTCAAGTCCACCCAGTAGCCCCACAGTGATTCCTCGGCTCCGAGCAATACAGCGTAAGCATTCGCCCTGGGCACACGGGCTCCTGTGGGGATTTCTGCCCTCAACTGACTTGGATTCCATCTAACCAGAGGTGTTATTATAGCTCACTGTAACTAACACATGACATTAACAGGTGTCACAGCTATTCAGAAAACAAAATTTGGTCTTACATTTCTTAGTCTAATTTTCTTCTTTTTTTAATTGAGATATAATTGACATATAACATTATACTAATTCCAGGCATACAATGTAATTATCTGATATTTGTATATACAGTTGACCCAGAAACAACATGGGGGTTAGGGCCGCTGACCACCACCACCCCCCACCACCATGCCGTGCAGTTGAAAATCCGCATATAACTTTTGACTCCCCAGAAACATAACTGCTAATAGCCTGCTGTTGACTCGAAGTCTTACTGATCACATAAACAGTCAATGAACACATATTTTGCATGTTATATGTATTATATACTGTATTCTCATAATAAAGTAAGCCACAGAAAAGAAAATATTAAGAAAATCATAAGGAAGAGAAAATACATTTACTAGACCATACTGTACTTATCGAAAAAATCCACATATAAGTGGACCCATACAGTTCAAACCCATGTTGTTCAAGGGTCAAATGTATTGCAAAATGATCACCACTATAAGTCTAGTTAACATCTGTCACCATGCATAGTTACAAAATTTATTTTTCTTATGATGAGAACTTTTAAGATAGGCAACTTTCAAATATGCAATACAGTGTTATTAACTATAGTCACCATGCTATACATTATATCCCCATGACTTATTTATTTTATACCTGGAAGTTTGTTCCTTTTGACCACCCTCACCCATTTCGTCCACCCCCTGCCTCTGGCAACCACCAGTTTGTTCTTTGTATGTATGAGCTCTTTTTTTAAAAATTTAATTCCACATATAAAGAAAATCATAGTATTTGTCTGTCCGACTTATTTCCCTTAGCAAAATGCCCTCAAGGCCCATCCATGTTGTTGCAAATGGCAAGATTTCATTCTTTTTTCTGGCTGAATAATATCCCATTGTATAGTTAATACCACATTTTCTTTATCCATTCATCTGTTGATGGACACTTAGGTTGTTTTCATGTTTTGGCTATTCTAAATAATGCTGCCCTGAACATGGGGGTGCATATATATTTTAGACTTAGTATTTTTGTTGTCTTCAAATAAATACCTAGAAGTGGAATTGCTGGGTCATATGGTAGTTCTATTTTTTTCCAGTTTTATTGAGGAATAATTGGCATACATCACTGTATAAGTTTAAGGCATACAGCATGATGGTTTGATTTACATATATTGTGAACTGATTACCTCAATAGGTTCAGCTAACATCCATCTTCTCATATAGATACAATAAAAAGAAAAGAAAAAAAGAAAAAGGTAAAAATTTTTTCTCCTTGCAGTGAGAACTATTAGGATTTACTCTCTTAACAACTTTTCTTTATATCATACAGCAGTGTTGGCTATAGTCATCAGGCGCATTACATCCCTAGTACTTATTTATCTTATAACTCAAAGTTTATAGCTTTGACCACCTTCCTCTGATTCCCCCTTCCTCCACCCTCCACCTCTGGTTACAAGTCTGATGTCTTTGTCATTTTTCTTTTTTTTAGATTCCACATATACGTGAGATCATATAGTATTTGTCTTTTTCTGTCTGATTTATTTCACTTAGATTAATGTCCTCTGAGTCCATCCATGTTGTTACAATGGCAAGCTCTCATTCTTTTTTATGGTTGAGCAACATTCCATTGTATATATATACCACATCTTCTTTATCCATTCATCCATTGATGGACACTTGGGTTGTTTCCATGTTTAGGCTATTGTAAATAATGCTGCTATGAACATGGGGGTACAGATATCTTTTCAAGTTAGTGTTTCCATTTCCTTTGGATATATTCCTAGAAGTGGAATTGCTAGATCATGTGGTAGCTCTGTTTTTAATTTTTGAGTCTCCTCCATACTGTTTTCCACAGTGGCTGCACCAATTTGCAATCACACCAGCAATGCACAAGGGTTCCCTTTTCTCCAGATCCCCTCCAGTATTTGTTATCTCATGTCCTCTTGAGGGTGGCCTTCTAAAAAGTGTAGGGTGATATCTCATTGTGGTTTTGATTTGCATTTTCCTAATTACTAGTGATGTTGAGTATCTTTCATGTGCCTGTCGGTCATTCATATGTCTTCTTTGGAGAAATGTCTGTTCAAGACCTTTGCCTATTTTTTAATTGGGTTACTTGATTTTTTTTCGAGTTATGTGTTTTTTATATATTTTGGTTATTAGGCCCTTACCAGGTATATGGTTTGCAAATATTTTTTTCCCATTCCATAGGTCTTTCCGCTTTGTTGATGGTTACTTTTGCTGTACAGACACTTTTTAGTTTGATATAGTCCACTAACTTATTTTTTATTTTGTTGCTTGTGCTTTTGGTGTCATATCCAAAAAATCATTACCAAGACCCCTGTCAAGAAGCTTTATTCTTATATTCTAGGAGTTTCATGGTTTCAGGTCTTATATTAAAGTCTTTAATCTATTTTGAATTAATTTTTATGAGTGGTATAATGTATGGATTCAATTTCATTCTTTTACATGTGAATATTGAAGAGTCTTTTCTACATTGAGTATTCTTGGCATCCTGGTCAAATATTAGTTGACCATATATGGTTGAGTTTACATCTGGGCTCTCTGTTCTGTTTGTTGGTCTATTTGTCTGTTTTTATGCCAGTACCGTACTATTTTGATGACTTTAACTTTATAGCATTGCTTAAAATCAGGGAGTATGATACCTCTTGCTTTGTTCTTCTTTCTCAAGATTTCTTTGGCTATTTATGGTCTTCTGTGATTCCATATAAATTTTAGGAGGGGTTTTTCTACTCCTGTAAAAAAGGCCACTGGAATCTTGATAGCAAGATTGCGTTGAGTCTATAGGTGGCTTTGGGTAGTACTGACATTTTAACAATATTACTTCTTCCAATCCATGAACACAGGATACATTTTCATTTATTTGTGTCTTCTCTGATTTCTTTCATCAGTATCTTACAGTTTTCAGAATAGAGATCTTTCATTTCTCTGTTGAATAGGAGTGGTGAGAGTGGACACCCTTGTTCCTGATCTTAGAGGAAAAGCATTCAACCTTTCAGCATATAGATGATGTTAGCTGTGGGCTCATCATACGTGATCTTTATTATGTTGAGATATATTCATTCTGTGCCTAATTTGTCAAGAGTTTTTAGCATGAATGGATATTGAATTTTGTCAAATGCTTTTTCTATGTCTATGAGATGACTATATGATTCTTTTCTTTCATTCTATTAATGTGATATATCACATTGATTGATTTGCATATGTTGAACCATCCTTGCACCCAGGGATAAATCCCACTTGATCTTGGTGAATGATCCTTTTAATGTGCTGCTGAATATTGTTTGCTAGTATTTTATTCAGAATTTTTACATCTATGTTCATCAGGGATATTGGCCCATAGTTTTCTTTTCTAGTAATGTCCTTTTCTGGTTTTGGTATCAGGGTAATGATTACCTTATAAAATGGGTTTGGGAGTGATCCATCCTCTTGGATTTTTGGGAAGAATTTGAGAGGAGGGATTAATGTTAATTTTCCTTTAAATGTTTGGTAAAATCCACAAGTGAAACCAACTGGTCCTGGGCTTTTCTTATTGGGAGATTTTTGATTACTAATTCAATCTTCTTACTAATAATTGGTCTATTCAGATTTTCAAAATCTTCCTGATTCAGTCTTGGCAAGTTATATGTTTCTGTGAATGTTTCCATTTCTTCTAGGGTGTCCACTATGTTGGCACAGAGTTGCTCCTGGTAGCCTTTTATGATCCTTTGAATTTCTGTGGTATCAGTTGTAATGTCTCCTTTTTCATTTATAATTTGTTGATTTGGGTTCTTTCTCTTTTTCTGTTGGTTAGTTTAGCTAAAGATTTGTCGATGTTGTCTTTTCAAAGAACCAGCTCTTAGTGTGGGTAATCTTTTCCATTTTTTTCTCTATTTCATTTATTTCTGCTCTGATCTTCACTATTTCCTTTCTTCTGCTAACTTTTGGCTCATTTGTTTTTTTCTCTAGTTCTTTACAGTGTAGAGTTAGGTTGTTTATTTAGGATCTTTCTTCCTTAATGTAGACATTTATTGCTACGAACTTCCCTCTTAGAACTACTTCAGCTGCATCGCATAAGTTCTGGTATGTTTTGTTTCATTTTTGTTTGTCTCAAGAAACTTTTTTCCCCCCTTTAATTTATTTTTTGATCCATTGGTTGTTCAGGAGAGTGTTGTTTAATTTTCATATGTTCATGAATTTTCCAGTTTTTCTTTTGTTACTGATTTCTAATTTCATGCCATGTGGTCAGAGAAGATACTTGGTAGAATTTCAATCTTCTTGTATTTACTGACTTGTTTTCTTGCCTAACATATGGTCACATAGGCCTGTTGAATGGGCTGTGAAGCTTTCTGTGGTCTGGTTGGACTGGCTGAAGGCTGTATTCAGTGATGAGCAGGACAATGGATTAGATTCCCTGCCTGGGTGCAGCAGGAGAAGCAGCTCTAAAGCTAGTAAAGCCCTTTGTTTGTTGTCTTACCTCAAGATGACCCACACCCTAAGTTGCCTGACTGAACGGGGCCACTGGCTTTGCTCCGCAAAGTATCAGCTCTGCCCTCCTGCCTCTTGGCTCAAGTTCTGCTTGGCTACACAGCTTCCAGGAGTTCTTTCCAGTCCTTCTGGTCTAGGGGACTGGAAGACACTCTTTTCACTGGATGGGGCTATGATTCAGATCCTTCCCTGGGTGTGGGCAAGCTGGGCCCGAAGGCTGACAAAACTCCTTGTTTGAGAATCTGAATCAGGCAGATCTGCACACCACAGAACTCCATGGTCAGAGTGCACCCTGACTCAGTTGTGCAGATGAATGAAGCTGATGGTTGAGATGACTGTTTGGGCACTGCTAGTATGAACTCCCTCTGCCAAGATCC